GGAGGTGGATTCTTACACGTGTAAGAATAGCTAGGTGCACTGAAAAATTCCTTCCCTACAGCGATTAGAAGCACTGAATTTTTTACCTAAGAGAACATTAAAGAACATGAAAGATGTATCTAAAATATGGGCTGATCTAAAGGAGATACGGTGTTTGCGTCTTCCTTACCTCATGATGCAAAAAGCAGAACACATAAAATTATGCCACAAGACCATAAATTCAAACCTGATCAATGGAAGTATGTCATGTATGCTATAGAAAGCATAATGAACCATTGTTAGCCCACAGAACTCATTGCCACAGAACACAGATTTAGAACTTGCAGGTTTTTAAGGCAGAAGATACTTTATTGTCCAGTTGATTTTCCTGTGCAACACAGACCCTAATCATTCATCAATCAGGGCAGCTCATTTTAGAGGATATCCAGTCTTGACTTAAAGACTTGACATAATGAAAAATCTATTACATCTCTGATATCTTGCTGTAGTGGTCATAAATATGCACATAAATCAGTCACAATTGGTCTATTTTTGAACTACCAATGAGTTGGACTAAAGCCAAAAGCTCTTAAAAAAGAAACAAACCCTCCCAACAACAACAAAACACAAATACCACCAGCAACAAAAAAAATCCCTCACCAAAACACCCCTCCCCCCAAATATGTGCCCCCCTCCCTCTGGATAACACATTACCCAGGGAAGCTGTGGAATGTCCTACCTTGGAGATGTTCAAAAGCCATCTGGACGAGGTTCTGGATAACCAGCTCTATGTAGCCCTGCTTGAGCAGGGGGGTTGGACAAGATGACCTCCAGAGGTCCCTTTCAACCTCAACCAATCTGTGATCCTATTACTGATCACTATTAGTAAGGACACTGATCCACACCAGCCTCATAATTCCTGTTGCCACTGCATGTGGGAGAGGGAGGGTGGTCATGCAAGATTTAAATAATGTTCTCATCAAACACTTCAGCTACTTTGTGATGGGTTAAGAATGCACTCATTCTTTGCCTGTTTGTGTCAAGGCTGAGGAACCTTTTACCCAGTAGCTTGATTCAGTCCTAACTAGTTAAAAGCAGCATAGAATGGTAAGACAGGCTCTGCCAATAAGTAATCCAGGCAATAAGCCAGCCAGTAATGCAATAACACATGCTGATGTGGTTCCATTGGCAACTCAGTCCTCTCAATAACAACATGTGTAAGAAGCCCCAGATTGGTCTAGAGAAGATAACCTGGGAACTCCTAGGGCCAAATTCAGGGTACCCAAAAGCTCGGGTTGCTCCAGAAGTGCTTTTTTGCATTATCATTCTAGTTTGAACAATTCATTTTGACACTGCATTACAACTTTAACAAGTAAGATGTCACTAGGGTCTTCTGCAGCAACACTAGGGACTTCTCTGTTGCTCATCACTTTTAATGATGTTTCAAATCAGTTGGCAAGTGTTTTATAGCAGAAATTCCTCCACTTAATCCCTGCCAGCACCAAGTCCAACATGACAATCACAGAAAAGGAAGTACACTGCCCATGTGCCACAGACCTTAAAGTACAGAGGGGAATCTACAACAGCTAAAAAGTGATAAAGCTGCCACTGCTTTCAGTTACCTTGTATTTTCGTTAGTAATCCCCAGCTTTTTCTCTGTAACATCCCATGAAGACTGAATAGTATGCTTTGCTCAAGTTGGAATAAATGATACTGACTGCATTTGCTGATTGAAGTGAGTACAGGTTTGATTCCAGGAGCTCAATGACAGTAGAGTTCAGAGTATGACACAAAAATCCACAGACTTTATTCATTCTTCTGTCCCTAAGAATATCTCTTAGAGGTATAGAACTCAGTACACGGCAAAGATGAGAGTCTCTTAGAAAAACAGAACTCTAGAGCTCAGATATGAGGTGCTGCGGACACAAGGCATACTGAGCAAAAAAAATTGAGTTTGCCTGGAGGGCAGAGGATCATGCAGAAACTTTTGTGTTTCAGGGAAAAAACGCAAATTTCCTTCTGCCAGCAATCTAATAGCAATTCCTCAATTATTTTAAAACCTCAAAGTGGGAAAAGCACATTTAGTTTGAGGCACTCCAACTACACATAGGTCTCGTCAATGTCCCATACCAGTTCAGTGTGAAAGAGTGACAGCTCCTGGTTTGGGTGAGACCAAAATATTGTCTGTGGCGTCAGGGCTTGGAGCAGGAGCCTTACTTGTGAGATGGGTCACTAGATGCTCTCCTCTCAGCCAGGTGACCTTGGTATGAAAATCATGTCAGTCTTAAAATTATGTTTATGTCACAACTGATGACAATGGGAAGAAACAGGCACTTCTTAGGGCACGATTTATGTATATTCTTTTAAACATCTACTACTGTATGAGAACTGTGCCCTGAACTCCACTGCCACACTGACTAAACCTCTTGACTATGAAGAGAGACCAGAGTGACAAGCTTACATATAAATAAATACAATGTCAATATCTATACTTAGCCAAATAAATCCCACTCCCAAAGTCCACCATGGCGTTAGCTGTCCAGATTTTCAGTAATGCATTCTTCTTTAATGACATCTACTCGTTTGGAGTTGAGCCACGTGGCTTCTGTTTCCTTCAGGCCATGGAGCTTGCTATATCTGTACTTCTAGCCACACTGCAGTCAAACAGCCCTGTCTGCCTGACTACCTCTTAAAAAGTCCTTTATGGAATTCTGAGTGCATGAGTCTTCCATAAAGTCAGTGCAAGGACTTGCGACAAGTGCCATGCAGCAAATACTGCTCTGCAGATGAGAATGTAGCCCAAGAACATAGGACTGACAGAACATGCTAATACCCAAAGGCACAGAAAAGAAAAGGCAGGATCCAGGGTGAATAAGCTGGGAGCTGAGAAAGGTTGCTGACTCTGGTAAAGTGAGCTGGCAGGTGGTGAAAGCCATTTCCCCTCTCTTCAACCAACCTTGCAAGCCCTAACTCTTCTTGCTTTCTGAGCAACCCCACAGCTGTCATCTGTTTCAAGAGAGCAACTGTTCACAGAATATCCAAGTAGGATCAACAGGCCTAGCATATTGTATACACTGTCCTCAATCAAAAGTGTTTGAAACATTTTCCCTAAAATTTCTCCAGAATAATTAGTCTTCAGAGAAAAAAAAGTCAGCAACACTAGACCATAAACTTGTGGTTCCCAAAGACTGTTTCTAGATACAACTCAATCACTGTGACCAATATGGTAAGTGCAATTACAACTGATAATTCTGAGCAGTCCTGCATATTCCCTACATATTATCACATACCTTAGACAAATTTAAATTTTTACCAGGATTACAATCCCGGTTTGGGAACCACTGTTTTAACGCAAGTATTTCAAAATTACAAAAGCTTTGATAGGAGATGGAAATGCAGAGATAATTTTTATTGCTGTTACTAATGCTCTAACTATAATAAAATGAATATACTTACATCAGAACAACCCCTAGTTATTTAGGCTTAGCTCTCTTTTGACAGGTCTTGAATTTCACAGCTGCTACACACTAAGTCTAGACATGAATTTGAAAAACATCTGATTGATCATTCTTTAGATGTTAACTAGCTGAGTAACTGATATTTAAAATGTCTGCTGAGCCCTAGATGGAAATGGAATTTTCTGTCTATAGTTTCTGTAAAGTGCTGTGCCTCCTAGACTCTTCCCCATTACAGGCCTTGAATATCTCTGGATATTCAGAGCTGAAACCTCATGTACTGGTCAATTCCCTAGTTAAAGAGTTTGCCACAGAATAAACATCTTCCTTCAGATTTATGAAAGCAAGTCTAAGTCTTCAATTACTTTTAAACATGGCCAAGTTCCTAGCTAGTTTAAAATAACTGTGTTCTACAGACATTAAGAACCTAAGGCAAATTATTCCAAGAGTCAGGCCAATCTACTACATACAATACTTTCTGACTACAAACTTGTCATTTAAACCATTCACACGTTGGTTCCTATCTATAAATAGATATGTTAATGGAACTTAATTCCTCCCAACTTTTTTTCTGTTTCATATGTATCAACTGGAAAAACATCAGAGGTAAAAGCCTTCCACATCTTATCACATACCTGTACAGTGACAAACAGAATGGTATCTTGATCTTAGTTGGGCTGATACCCATTACTCTGGTATAGACAAAAATGACAGCTTTACTTCACAATAGACATACAGCTACAAAACTAATCATACTACAGGTTTACTATATGAATGAGTATGAGCATTCAATACAGTCATAAAAATGAAAAGAAATTCTTCACAATGAAAGTGGCCAAACATTGGAACAGATTGCCTGAAGAGGCTGTGAAACCTTCATCTGTAGAGATTTTCAAAATTCCACAAGGCCTTGACAACCCTGTTTTGAGCAGGAGGTTGAATTAGATGACTTCCAGTTTCCTCCTACCTAAATTTTTCCATGATTCAGTTGAATAGACTCAGAAAACTTAGGAAAAGACCATTTTAGTAGGGTATTATGCATGGTGAAGTGCTGAACTCAATCTATTAGAAATTGCAGAAAGCGTCATCCATTTTTTTCTTACATAAATCATCCTTTTACAGTCTATGTGAATGTGTACATTTTTGCAGGATCTTTAACAATTTTTCTGTAAGTCATTCTTCCCGTTATATGTTTTATTATTCCACAAGTTTTGCTTATGACTGAATTCTCATAGGAAATTTAATACATCTCTTCAGTATACCCCTCTAATCTCTTATTTTCTTTTTAATCATTCTAATAAAAAGTTCCAAAGCCAGTGCTTATTTATCCAGAAGCTATTATTCTCCTTATTAAAGCCCTTCAGAAGATAGTTGGTAATATCCACAGAATTTTCCCCAACACTTTTCTATGCAAGCTGCTCCCCAGCTGCTTATTCTTAGGAGGTTTGTCTGACCTGTTTCTAAATGTCTCTGTTAACAGGACTTTTACTGGAAAGACCATTCCACCATTTAATACAAGGATTATTTTTTTCCCCTAACTCAATGTATAAACTGTTCATTACGTACCTTCATTGGCCTCTTCAGCGCTTCCTGAATATCCACACGCTTCCGCATAATGGTCTGGTCTAGTTTGCGTTCAAAGGCCAACAGATCCATGTAGGCTTGGGACTCAGGAACCAGCTCCCGGATCTAAGAGGAAAGCAAGGAATATCCAAGCACTGGAAGCAAGAATCTACTATGTTCCAGAGCAGTAATACTAACACCTTCCCAGACCTTGGACAGATGTGCTCAGAAGGAGTTACCCCTAAAGTAGATCCCAATTAGCAAGGAGGTCTCAGTGGCATGGTACAAGCGTATGACTGAGAAGCTGGAGCACAGAACTAAAGCTAAGGAATTCTGGAAGACCCCAGCTGGATGCACAAGGCCTGAATCGTGGATCTTTTTTTTTTCAAGTGAGGCTTAGCTAGAGGCCACCTGGGAGCCACTGCTCTTAGCAAAACAAAGCACAGTAAATTTGTTTTGTTTAAACTAAAAAAGTATTTGGTCTCTCTAGGCTAAAAATAAAGGGTGCGTGTTCATGTTGACTTTTTAAAAACAAGTGTTACCCATCATAAGCAAAAACTGCCCTTTAGTCAACACATCTTCTTGGCTGAGGTGAAATTGAATTTCACATCAATGTTTCAACATGACCAGCTATACGGTGGATCTTGCCAACTTTTACTGATATCTCAATATGCTAGTTAAACTACATTAGTTCGATTAACAAACCCCTTTTCTATTTCCCCTTTTCCAAAGAAGTTAGCAGAGGAGGTGACATGAAGTAGGTTAGGAAGAAGACCTAATGATCTGAGCTTGGAAATGGGCAAGTACACCCTTACA